TATTACTACCTACAGTAAAAAATAATATTATTTAAAAATCTAGTAGCTATTATACATACTTCAAACCAAAATTTAAACATAAAATGTATGCCATCAAACCTGAATCTAAACTACCAGTTTCTTGAACAGCTWCACTAGCAACAAACTCTACTATGTCATACTTATTAGAAGTATAAATTAACTAATCATCTTCATTTAAATTTTCTAACTGTTCACTATTAGGTTTGTTCCAACACACGGTCAAACTATCATCGAACTGTCGGGAGCATGCGCAGTATAATTTTTCCGTTCCAACTCGTCTGAAACGCAAACTCAAACTGTCAGATGGTTGTTCCAACACGTTATTAGACAGTTGTGTGACTGGTTATTGACAGTCAAAACGATCCKCGAATTTTGACCGGACTGGGAGTCCGAGACACTGTTATCATACATTTATTTATTATTTATGTTATAAATTCGGTTATTTGTATCAGTCGTTCGCATTTGAATTTGAATTATTATAATTTTTTAGTTAAAATACTAATCTAACAATATCTAATACTAATCATAGGCGTGCGCAGGGGGTATGCAGGGTATGCAGCTGCATACCCTGAAGCTCTTTGAGGGGCAAAAATCGTTTTTGGAAAAAATACTTTTGTGCGCAAGAAAAATAATTACTAATTATAGTGCGGCCCGGGAGTGTACATATTATTAATTATTATGTTGAAACTTGAAACTTGTCCGTCTGGAATGGAACTGTGGTGGGAGAAAATCGGCCTGGCTGAGCGCACGACGTTCAGCACAGACCATAGATATTAGATAACAGAAGAACGGCACTGGCAGTGATAACGTTACGGCAGTGATAACGTTTGATTAGCGTATAAAATATACGTTTATTTTATAATAATTTGACGTTTACCCGTTAAACCATACTACCATAGTTAAAAATTCATTTTTTATATATCTGTGCGTTGATTTCGGATTTCATAGTTTATCGATCAGTCAATATGAAACCTAGTAAAAATAAAAATGTCCGGTTGTATTTCAGGGGTACAAGCTAARTGTAAAGAAGTAAATTCAAATATAATGTACGTACACTGTTATGCACACTGTCTTAATTTAATTCTTGTTGATGCTTGTACATCTAGAAAAGAAAATAGAATTGTATTTGATTTTTTTGGAGTAGTACAGTTAACTTATTCATTTATTGATTTATTGAAGGAAGTGCTATACGCCATGCAGTTTTGGAACGAATATCAGCTGATATCAATGCATCGTTAAAGTCAATGAAATCTTTATCTACGAGTACAACAAGATGGGCCTGTCGCTCTGAGGCAGTGTCAGCTTTAAAACATAATTATTCGGCTATTTTATTAGCACTTGAAGAAATAGTAGATAGAACAAAACAACCTGATGTTAGAGCTAAAGGACGTGGTTTATTGTTTCAACTCAAAACTTTTCAATTTATTTTAGGACTTGAAATGTTGGATCCAATTCTACAAATTATAAATAAAGTAAGCAAATCATTACAGTGTGTTAACGCTCTTCGATCAGTGCTTATTGAAAAAAGAAATGAAAATACATTTAAAACTATGTTTGATATTTGTACTTCTATATGTGAAAAAATTGATATTCYATTACCATTACCTACAAAACGAAAAGTTTCAACTCGTATCGACAATATTAATTCACAGTTCCAGGCACAATCATTAGAGGAAGAATTAAGAGTCCAATCATTTTATCCTATGCTTGATATTATGATTAGTGGAATTGATGAAAGATTCAATCAAGACACTATCAATCTAATAAATGCAATTGATGGATTAATGAAATTAAAAATATGTATCACAGATATAAATTTATTAAGCAATCATTTTGAATGCAATAAAGATGAATTGGTAGCTGAAATAAATTTGTTACAAAAACATGAAACAATAACTAAACAAATTGAAGGCAACTTGGGCGCTAAAATGCTTCATATTTGGCTTCAATGGTTAAAAAATTATGATAAACAAAATATTTTTGGACAATTTACTAAAATTTTAAAGAAGTTTGCWGTTATACCGGTCACAAGCTGTACATGTGAACGATCATTTTCAAAATTAACATTAGTAAAATCCAAGTTAAGAAGTACTATGCTTCAAGAAAGACTWAATGCATTGATGCTTATAACGGTAGAACAAGAAATGGCTATTAACTTAAATCCCGACGATATAATTGATCATTTCAAAAATTCTACACAACGCAGAATGATGTTATAATAAAATATATTATT